GACATGATTTTAAACAAATAAAAAAATTATAAAGCAATATACCATTAAAATAAATCTTAATCTAATCGCACTTCATATAAGTGAGAAAATGTATGGGTAAGCGTAATGCATTAATAACAATTTGATCTTAACACATAAAATTAATAAAAAAAAATTCAAAAAAAATATTATAATACAAACAATTCTCTCCTCAAATCTCTTTCTTACCTCTCATGACAGCCCTTCTCCCTCTCATGCCCTTCTCTCTCTCATGCTTCCCTTATGACCTCTCTCTCTCATGCGTTGTGCCACTTTCTCCTCTCCTACGCCCTCTCTCTCTCTTTGTGTGGTGCCCTCGTCATTCCCCCTTCTCATGCTCTCATTGATCCCTCCATCCTCTCCTCTCTCTTTCACCTCTCTCTCTCATTCACCTATTTTCTCCCAAGTGAGTTTATTTTAAAATTTCTTTTTTTCTACTCTCATCTTTTAAAATTTGATATCTCTCTCTTCCCTTTTGTGTACCCTTTCTCTCACTCTCTTACTATGCACTAAATTTACGTGATTGCTCTATTTCATTTTTTCTCTCTTCTTTTAAAAGTGGAAATGTCTCTTACAATTTATATAGAATTAGATTTCTTTTTATTTTCACGACACGTGTCCACCCTGGGTTAATAATGCAACATCTAGCAACCCCTTTCATAAACTCCTTTTTGATGGATTGAGGAGTCAATAATAATTTTAAATATTTGAAAATCTATTTTTGCAATGAAAATGGATTTTGAACTCTTAGAATTGACACAAATCTGAGCAGTCAGATGTCCATGGAAATGCATGATCCGAAATGCATGTTGAGATGACATTTAAAATAATTTCTTAAGGTTCAATATTTTTTGCTTTCATACTAAACTGGTGTTTCAAACAAGGATTGGTCGGGTAGATGATTTGCACACATATCCGTCTCAGATTGCAGGATCAAATCAGTGCAGATCAACAATCTAAAAAAAAAAAAAGACTAACGTACACATTTTTTTAAATATATATATATATATATATATATAAAGCTTCAAAATAGTGTACATCGGGCATATCTAAAAAAATTTGAAAATCTTGAAAATTATCGGTCCAAAAATGCATTACAAGATGCATTATTTTCAAAACTTGAAATCTATTTTTATCTCGTGTCCATGCATCTTGTGGTCAAGATGACCAATTTGAGAATTCTTGGGCATCAAAACAACCTCTTCTAGTGAACTTTTTGAAGTGCACCTTAATTTGATTGTTTAGAGCCTCGCATTTAGGATCCTGCCTATTTTTAATTTTTTTGAAATGGTTATAGTTTTTGGAGGTATTAGTGGGAATAGAAGTCAAAACATGTAACTACGGTAAAGGGAGTAGGTATTTGGGGTAATACTACCACGAGCCCCTCAGTTCCTTTCCCCCTAAAAAATATTAGATAAACTTAAAAAAATACTAAAAATATGACATCTTTGTATAAAAAGTAAATGATTTCTTTATATACTTTTCTTTTAAATAGGTTTTTGTAACCCCCCACCACCCCTCACAACAAAAAAAAAAGTAAAATAAAATTAAGATATTTTGTCATGTCGGCTCTACACTTATTGGATAAATTCATTGTAGTCAGAATCTAGTTTGGATCAACGATATACCTCAATAAGAGATTCTCTAATGCGCGAATTAATGCAAAAAAATAGAAAAATTGAAAGAAATAGAAAATAAAAATAGTAAAAATGTATTATGGGGTTGATGGGCGATCCGGCCAGTCCTGATCGTCTAATTCCCTAATAGACTCATCTAGTTTCCAAAAGAAACTGGGTCAAAGAGAATCCAACTTTTCCTATTCGAAGAAGGAAGCACGTCCATCTGGACTTAAAGTATTAAACAATCATTCAAAGAAAAAGTTTATATAAGTGAAAAGCTTTGAACAATCAAATCAGAGTGCACATAAAAAATTTCACTAAAAAGAGTTGTTTTGATGCTCAAGTATTTTCAAATTGATCATCTTGATCCCAAGATTCATTTGACATGAAAAAAAAAGATTTCAAGTTTTGAAAATAGTGTATCTTACATTATATTTTTGGACTATCGGTTTTCAAGAGTTTTAATTTTTCATTGATTTGTTCAATCCACGTCATTTTAAAAGATTTAAATTTTATAATTAAAAATAAAAATATATTTTAAAACTATCACAAAGACTTACAGTACTGAAAAAGTACGCTTTGATTATTAAATGCCTCGGCTCTATAAAAAACCGCACCCACAATTCAGAAGGTATTGTATTGGAATTTGTAGAGTTGTGATGCCCTAGAAATGTAGAGGATCCAAAACGTAATCGAGAAGAAAAGGGTACCTTGATAACGTCCAAAAAGATCAAGACTGTTCTGACATTTCAAGAAAAGATAAGAATATTATGAGTCTTAGTCGTTTTCTTCTCTCTCTTGACCATATCCGCCATGTGGGCTCACGAAAATTTTGCGCGAAAGCCTCCAACGTGTATGGGCATACAAAAACGAAAACAGTTTTTAATTAATTATTTATATTTACAAAAACAAAAAACAGTTGCTTCTTTCCCCTCAATCTCCGATCCCACCTCCCTCTCTCTCTCTAATTGTTTTTATTTTTTTCATCCTCTCTCTAAGTCTTTTTCTTTCATCTTTGATTTTCTAGCGTTTGATTGCATGTATTTGCGTCTTTCTTGACAGAGAAAAAGAATAGATTGAAAAAGTCCGTACTTCCTTGGGACCCCTTTTTGTGATTGAGAGGCTTGAGATTGGTGCTCTATGAACGTGAAAAGCCCTGGAATTTGATTATATCTTCTTGAATTCTGAATTGGGTTTTCTTGGTTCGGTTATTCCAGCCTTGATTGCAGAGGTTTGGATCTGAATTTAAAAATTTGAGGTAAGAATTTCTCTCTGTCTCTTGATTTTGTTAATTTTGTTTGAATTTTACTTTGTGTGAATCTTGGTTGAGGATTTGGGCTTGGGTTAATTTTGCTTTCATTTTTTTTTGGGTTTTTTGTGTGTTTTGATTGAATAGGCAGCGCTCGTTTTGGTGGGCGCTTCACAGGTGGTGGAAAAATGTCTGGCTTTGTTGGGGTGTTGGTTTCAGATCCATGGCTTCACAGCCAGTTCACACAGGTCGAGCTTCGTGCGTTGAAATCAAAAGTAAGTGATTCAGTTACCCAATTCTAATTGTTTTCTTCAAATGCTTTTTTTCATTGGACTTCATGTTCAATTCTTATGGGTCTGCAACCTTTCTAATTAGATAGTGGGATAAATTTGTGGTTTAATTGTTTAAGAATATCATTTATACCATTAATTTGGTTTGTTGATTTGGGCTCGTTTTCTTTTTCATCTTTTTGAAGGATTGTGGACCTGGATTACTGTTCCATTAAGTATAGATTCATTTTTTGGTTTTGTGGGTCATTTGGTTTTGCTGTTTGCTTATAAAAATAAATGGAGTTTGTCTTGGTTTTGTGTAGTTTCTTTCAATGAGGAGGGAATCCAATAAAGTAACAGTTGGAGATTTGCCTTCTGGGATGGCTAAATTAAAAGCTTTCAGCGAGTTGTATAACGAAGAAGAGATTGCTGCAATCTTGGGTGAAACATATCCCAATTCTGAAGATGGGATTGATTTCGAAGCCTTCCTTAGGGTCTCTCTCTCTCTTGTCTCTCTCACATATTCATGCAGCAAACTTTGTAAGTACTAATTGAATAGTTGGTGGCAGGTATATTTGAATCTCCAATCTCGTGCGAGTAGCAAGGTCGGTGGAACGAAGAACTCATCGGCATTCCTTAAGGCTTCCACAACCACATTGTTGCATACCATTAGTGAATCAGAGAAGTCATCCTATGTTGCCCACATAAACAGCTACCTTGGAGATGATCCATTTTTGAAAAAATATCTTCCTATCGATCAATCAACTAATGATCTCTTCAACCTGGCAAAGGATGGTGTTCTTCTCTGGTATCTCCATTGAATTTTATTATCTTTTTTACCTCAATGGCTTGTTGGGAACTTAATTAATGTTTCTTTTAGTGGAATTATTGTATCTTGTCTGCAACCCCATTAAGTGCTTTTTTTGTTTTTTTAGAGTTATTTTATTTTCCATTTATGGGCTGTGGAATCACATGGTTGCATGGATGAATGCAGTAAACTAATCAATGTGGCGGTGCCGGGGACTATTGACGAGAGGGCCATAAACACTAAAAGGATACTGAATCCATGGGAAAGGAATGAGAACCATACACTTTGTCTCAATTCAGCAAAAGCTATTGGCTGCACTGTAGTCAATATTGGAACACAAGATTTAGTTGAAGGAAGGGTAAGTCAAGTGTATTCTATTGTACTCAATGACTTTTAGAGCATTTTTTGTATATATTTTTCCTTGACGAGTTATCAGACCTATCATATAGAGAACTCCACATGTCCTTTTTTAGAAGTTCATTCTAAAGCTTGTTTTGGTTTAATGTGCATGAAGAGATAGCTGTGTTATTTGGGATCCAAAGTCCTTGGTTAAAATATTTAATGCGGGCTGTGTTTTAACTTCATTTTGCTGGTCATTATTGTAAACAATTCTCTGAGAGCACAATTTGGTTTGGCCCTTTTTTTTTTTTGGGTTCTCTTTCGGGTTTGTTGTTGATCACTCACTACACTTTATCAGTTAAACTTTAACTGTACATCTAAGTATCTTGGGTTGGAGTTTGGGTAGTTTGGTGGATAATCACTGCTAATTTTTCTCTAGATCCTGATAGCACAGAGTTCAAGGGTAATATTAAATAGTTCTTGTAGAATGAAAAGATTTTAACAATTTCTCTTTTGAAATTGCAAGCTATAAATCAGGTTGATTGGGAAGCCTGTAAAGTGCAGGTGTCAGTTCATGTATTGTGAGAGGAAAAATTGAAGGATCAATTGATAGCTCTAGTGGTCAACTTTGGGTAGGTGCATATTCACTTCTGTTTTATTGTACCTTTAATAACTTTGGAGGTTGAGTGTAGCATCGAGTTTTACTTTGAAGAATGAGATGACAACCAAAATTTCTCTATTGGAAGTTCTGACAATGAGTTAGGTGGATTTGCAAGCCTGAAAAGAGCCGGTGTCAGCACTTGTGAGAGGAACAGTTGGAAGGTGAAATATTAGTTCTAGTGGTCAGTAGACAAAATCCTTTCAAGCTACTAGAACCTTATATCCGTGCTTCTTATATGAAACCTGGAATTTTCTTTCCAGCTTTGGAGAATCCTTCAGTTGATTAAGTTTTGAAGTTTTTCTGACATATGAAAGTGTCGGTCCACTGATTGAGGCTTGCATGCTGGCATTATGGACTACTTGAAGTTGAAAAGTAGTTGCGTGCCATCATTGTGAATTATGGTTTATCAGTTTATGCTTTCTAGTATCTAATATTCACTGTGATTGGATCTGCTTGTGTCAAACTTTGCCTAGTTGTTGGGCATCCATCAGTTTGTTTTCTTGCGAACATTTGCTTATGGAGTTTTTCATTTCTTTTAGGATCCATGATAGTTTAGGTGATATAATCCTTATTTCAGAAACTTGTTCCGTTATTTCTCATTGGGTCATGCTCAATAGAGGATGCTTTTCAGTGCTGTTTGATGGGACCTATGCTTTCATGTTGTTTACTTGTTAGAAACTTTGCTTTTATTTGATGTGTTCTTCTTTATTTGTGTACGTTTTCTTCATTCTGGACTTGACATTAATTCTTGTTGTTTTTTGTAGCCTCATCTTGTACTTGGGTTGATCTCACAAATCATCAAGGTAAGTGTGTAAATTTGTAGTTTAAGTGTCAGGGTTGGTGTTGTTAGGATATAGAACTGCAATTAACACAAGCATCAACTGATTTGCTCTTGTTAAAAGTTAAATGCGGAATGTTTAATAACTTAAAACCTTTTTTTTTAGTTAGAAACTGGAGCTTTTTGTTACAAAAATTATGTGGCTACCATTTGGATGTTTCTCTGATTTATATTTCAATGATAGATACAACTGTTGCAAGACCTCAATTTGAAGAAGACCCCCCAACTGGTGGAGTTAGTTGATGATAGCAAGGTTAGAAAATCTGGATCTTCCTATCGCATCCCTTGTACATCTCAAGTTAATGTTGAGAGGAACTCCTTATGTATGTAGCCGTAACATATTGAATCATGGAGAAATACAAGGATCCGGTGCACTTTGGAAAAATCATAGTCCACCGGGTCATTACTGTCTGATGAGATGATGAATGTTTTTATCATGCCAAGCGTTGTTGCAATGATGGATGTTGATGGAGAGAGAGAGTGAGACTCACAAGGGTAGGAGATGGCCCCTATGGTGGGTCTCACTCTCTTCCATCACCATCCATATCATTGGATGCTCTTGACCCCAAGGGACTATACTTTCTCTTGAATCATTCTAGTAGTGGCTATTCATCTATTTATGGATCTGCACAGAAATTCCTAGAGAGTGAATAGGGTGATATATATTTGACTAAAATATTATAATGGAACTTTTTGATGGATAGGATGTGGAGGAGCTCATGAGTTTACCACCAGAGAAGGTCTTGCTGCGGTGGATGAATTTCCATCTTAAGAAAGCAGGCTACAAGAAACCCATAAACAATTTCTCCTCAGATGTTAAGGTAAGCATGATACACTTGTTTCTATAAACAATGTTCGCAATTTTCCTTTCATATTGTGCTTTGCACTTCTGAAATCAAGACTTAAAGTGCTTTGTTGCCATGATTAACTATCTACTCTTATTTCATTCTGAATATTGAAATCTTGAGCTTCAAGCTTCTTGGTCTAGACATGACACTAGGAGCTTCGAGCTTTTTTGTTTAGCCATGAAACTAGAGAAACACTCATGAAAATATCTCGGGGTTTAGGAAAAGAAATATCGTTTTCCTTGAAATCTTAAGACTGCTTCTCTTTTTCCTATGTTTTAACTAAATGTATTTTTAGATGCAAATGCAAGTTACTAGAAACTACAAATTATAAATTTATAAAACAAGAAATACCAATTTATTGGAGAGCAATAAGCCCATATGTTTCACAATGACCACATGGATCATATTATAACTTTTACTAGGAAAGATAAGTTTAAACTTTGCAAATATTCCAAATTTACTACAATAGTTTTCAGTGTGCATGGTTTGTCCAGACTAAGTGATCTCCATCTATCCTTCTCTTGTTCCCAATGAATGGTGAAAAATAAGAATAAAGAGCGAGAACGTATCCGTGCAATCATTTTATGCAAAATAAGTTGGAGTTCTACGAATAAAAAAAAGTTGGAGTGTTTTGTCTTTTTAGCTCTTCAGCTTACTAAATGAATCATTTTTTCCTTGTCTTCCAAGGTGTTTTCTGGCTCTTATTGCTCTGGGTGTTCTGTGGTGATCTCCATATGGTTAGAAATTCTTATGGAAAATTGAAAGCCTACTCTCGATTTCTGTAATCATGCTCTACTATGGAACATTAGAAATTCACGTACTAAAAATACTTTTTACTGTGCCACTACTTGAACCGCACTTTTTTTTTTGTTCATTTATCACTCATGAATCATGGTTTTCTTTCTAGATAAAATTATTTTGGAATACATACTATGCCCCAATGAACTATTATTGGAAAACTGCTGTCCTGTGAACCATCTTCCTTTTTGAAATGATAGATAGATGGTACCTACCATCAGCATTATGCCCCAGTCCCTCTCCTTCATTGTCCATCATTTCAATTGACAATGATGATGCAATAGACTTTGGTTTTTATGATATGGTGTTTCTACTATTTGGCAATGCCTGTTGGTTTTGTGGAAAATATCTCAAATTTGGATAACCTTGCAGGATGGAGAGGCTTATGCTTATTTGTTAAACGTTCTTGCGCCAGAACACTGCAGCCCAGCTACATTGGATGCAAAGAATCCAGCTGAAAGGGCAAAGCTAGTTATTGAACATGCAGAGAAGATGGACTGCAAACGATACCTGACCCCCAAGGACATTGTTGAAGGGTCTCCCAATTTGAATCTTGCTTTTGTTGCACATATTTTCCATCACAGGTTTGGTTGAATACTTGTTGGTACTTCGGAATATAGTAGCTTTGTCTTCTACATGTAGCATTCTTGATAGATGATAAATCACATCTCGAGCATCAGAAAATCATTTCTTCAGTATTTATTGCCTTTACGTTTTGGTTTGCAATTATGGATTCTCATTATTTAGAGTTAATATTCGTTTACAGTGATGAACATATTCTTTTGCTATTCTAATTTTTCTCCTATACATTAAGGGCACTGTGCAGAGTGTGTTAGTCTTTAACCATCAAAGATATGTAAAAAAATGTACTACAAAGAGCATTAAAGCCCAACATGATACAATTCCATTACTGGAGTTCCCATGCGAGGCCTCAATATCTAGGGTTTTTTCTGAGTGCAGCAAGCAAATGATCTTCATGTTTGGTCCTTTCATCTTATTATTCTTCTTCTTTTCTTTCCACTTTATTGGTTATTTTCAATTTGGGTATGCTCTCTTAACCCTACCAAATCCTAATCTCACTCATCCTCTCTATAATTCTTTTTCCTCTAACCTAGAAAAACATTGCTATTTCTGTAATTCCTGATCCTCTTCTTTCTCTGTTTTTACTTGGTCCTGAATAAAGCATAATCTCAATCACCCTTCTCTCTCAAATACACATATTCAGTTGTCATACATGAGGATCTGAACTGTTGCATATTTGTCTTGTGTATAATGTATATTGTATTTTATGGATGTGTGTAGATCCAATATTTTTTGTAAGACCAAATCTTATATTTTATTTTTAACCACTACACATCACATTAACTGAAGGATTGGGTTTCTATGAGTCAGCCAACTCATACTGTGCATATGCGGGACCCCCCACTTAGACCTATCTTAAAATTGGATTTTTAATCTAAAATTTTAGGGATTCATGATCTAGGTTATGATGATCATGAATATTGAAAAATAAATAAAATTTTCAATATTTAAAGTGTGAATTTTTTACGGAAAATTTCTACACTGTCTAAATTCATTTTACTCCTATGAGTTTTTTACAATGTCCATTTTAGAGATGGACGTTTGTGTGTCAGTGGGTTCTTCCACCTGCCGACTCATGAATGACTTTTCCTTAGCTGAATATCTACTATGTGACCCAATTAATGAAACATCTATTAATAAATGAAAATGCCTGATCGGTTCTTAATCTATACTTCTGCACACAGGAGTTTGTCATCTAGTATGAATCATGATAGCATAAAATGTAGAGAGTGAGGTGGTATTCTTAGGGCTTGATTTTGATGGGTCATAATGTTTTCTTCTAATCCTTGTCACGGCAACCCAGTCAATGTTATCGATGGGCAAGGTTGGAAGCAGCACATCTGTAGAGGGTAACTAACATCATTGGAGAAATCTCCATGTCTGTAGTGGCTTGACTATTTACTTTTCCCTTATGACCAGGGGAGTGAAAACAGGAGATGGACGCCTTAGCATGACCAAGAATTGGAAGAAGTCCTTATCCATAAGCGTCTCTCCTTAACATGAGTTATGGTTGAGTGTACTTCCAATGATTTTATCTTTGATTCGAGTTGATGTTTATCTATTTATGACCATTTATAGTTCTTAAGCATTACAAAGAGATAACATACAACAGAGCATCCAGGGTACCATATAGGAAAAAAAGGAAAACCATTGATAATGGGTGTGCTTTAAAAAGGTTATGTTTAGATTGTACAAATTATATAATGACCAGGTAAGAGTCCACAAGCTAAACAGATATGTATTAGACTCTTATCACTAATCAAGTCTCTTCCTTGCTTCCTGTTTCGAATGCCATGCAATCAAGAGAAAAAAGTCATCTAATCAGATAATTGCAGAGAGACCCTACAACCTGAGGATAATAGTGATAAATGTTATGTAAATTATGTCATGGTAAAGATTGATCAAGTAACAAAATATGAAAAGGGAGGTTTGCATCTAAAGAAGCAGGTGTATGTTGATCACTCATAGAGCCCCACATTTCTTTAAAGATTTGGTATGATAAGTTTATCACAAAAGCTTATACAGAGCCATATATGTTCTGTGGTAGGTTGTAACTTATACCATGTATTTTCCCCGACATTCTTCATTAAAAAAAACAACTCAATATTTTGTATGCAAGCATGCATATCATTTCAGTATTTTTTTTTTTGAACGATTAAATGAGTTTTCTTTTTTTTGGGCAATTCAATGGGGAAGACTTGCCCCTATATGCTTTTTCAAGTAGATTAGGAGTTAGCTTTTTGAAGGTATTAGTGGTGGGAATAGAAACCACAACGTGGTGACTAGGGTGTGGGGTTGTTACCACCACGACTCCATACCTCATTAGCATTAAGCTTCTTTTTTTAAAATATTTTTTTTTTTTCAGGGAGAGGGCCCCTATCAACAACCCTTGGTAGGAATCGAGCCTAGGAAGTAGCGCTGCAAATCGTCAAGCGCTACCCAATCAAGCCTGGGCTCTTTTCCTAAACTAAAGTCACTTTGGATCATATCAGTTCAGTATAACATGCTGGTTATAATTTGTCCCTTAGAAGTTATTTCTGGAAAATAACATTCTTCTTCTTCTAGTGACGAAACATTGTGTAATTTCTGAGTCATCACGGCGTTGTCTCTCTGTATGCGTATGATTGACTGGATGTATCTCACTGGAATGTATCTCACTGGAATGTTTCTGTGATACCTTATACTGATATTGTTTCGCATTCAGTGAAGTAGAAGAGGTTTTCTAATTTTGAAACCGAGCTAATTGAATGGTGTTCAATTTTCTTGTAGGAATGGCTTGTCCACAGAGAGTAAAAAGATATCTTTTGCAGAGATGATGCCGGATGATGTCCAGGTTTCCAGAGAAGAGAGAGCATTCCGATTATGGATAAACAGTCTTGGGACAGTCACATATGTGAATAATGTGTTTGAGGATGTCAGAAATGGGTAAGCAATCAAATGTTCATTTCAATGAAACCAGAAAAGTAGTTGATATTCCAAAGTGGAGAAACCGCAATACATTGAGCCATAACAGTCCACTGAAATGATTGATGCTGATTGAGAGAGAATGGGATCCACCGTAGAGGTCCTGTCCTGTTGTTGTGGGTCCCAACTCCGTCTCCATTACCATTCATCATTTCAATAGATGGTGATAGCCCAATGGATTATGTTTCTTCATGGTCCATTGGATTTTGGTATACTTTCCTTGTAAAGAATCACTTCCTTATATTTTGGATGACAAAAAAAACCTTTCTTGCAGTTTTTTATGCCCCCATTTTCTTTAGATTTCATTGTTATATTTGATCTTTATATTTGTAGACTTTCTTCTAGATTTTCATTGTCTCGTTATTTAGGCTTGATTTTCTATTTATTACTTTCTTGTGGTTTCATCTCATCTTTTCTAGATTTTCATTTTGAAATTTATATGATCTTCTGTTTTGTGTAGATGGGTCCTTTTAGAAGTGCTTGACAAGGTTTCACCAGGGATTGTTAACTGGAAGCAAGCAACAAAGCCTCCTATTAAGATGCCATTTAGAAAAGTGGAAAACTGCAACCAAGTTGTGAGGATTGGGAAACAATTGAAATTTTCCCTTGTCAATGTAGCTGGAAATGATATTGTACAAGGAAACAAGAAACTTATACTTGGTATGTATGTGATCATGCTCATTTTAGTTTGAGGGGTCGAAGTACTCCTGTATTTACCCATTCCTATGATACCCATTATGTTTACATCTCTTGCTAGTCATTATTCCATAAGGTTTGCCTTAAGAATCTTATTTGAATATTAAGAATATCAACTTTTTGAATTTTAGACTATTCTATTCTACATGCCAATTCTTTTCTGAATTCTTTTGAAGCTTTGCGCAAACTAGTCATATTTCTAGTGGTTTTTTAGTTATCTTGTGAGTATATGTGGAATCTCTTGGGCATGATTGCTTTCTAAACCATTCTGTGCCATGTCAATATTAGGGGATCTACATGAAGTGAAGGGAAGGTGGAACAAAATATAGTACAAGAATAACCAGTAAAAGAAATTTTCTGGATCTCATCTGCTTCCTTGATTAAGAATTTTATTTTCAGATCAAGTTATGTGGAATGAATTGGATATTACTTGACATTGGTGGAATGTACATCATAGGAGTAACATCGAGGGTAGCAGTATATTAGATATTTTATTATGGATAGAACGTTACTTTGGGAAAGTTATTCAAAGTATAGATTGGTCCCATAAATTTGTAAAAGAAATTCCTTCAATTGAAATATTTAGAAAGTTGCATTTGAATGTTGACATGGACGAGGTATTTTATGCTGGTTCTTATAGCTGTATTCTTATATTATTGTTCCATACTACAGAAATACTTAAAACTCTAACCAAAGAGATCTTTATGTAGACTTTATTTTAATCAATAACCACGTCAAGTTTGGGCTTTTATGAGATTATCTTATTATTTTCCAGTTTCCAAAAGTCAGTTTAGGTTTGAAAATATTTAAGTTTACAATAGAAATCTGAGGCTGGGAACTCTAATACTCATGTTTGAGATTCAGCCAGGAATGAAGTATATACTGTGGGTGTTTATCTGTCACATTTAGCTGCATTCCGAGTTTTACCATGCTAAGAAGTTTTATGGCTGTTATTTTTTCAGCTTTCCTATGGCAATTGATGAGGTTCAACATTCTTCAGCTCCTGAAGAACTTGAGATTCTACTCTCAAGGGAAGGAGATGACAGATGCTGATATCTTAAAATGGGCAAATGACAAAGTTAAGAGCTCAGGCAGAACTTCTCAAATGGAAAGTTTTAAGGTAGCCATTTCTCTGTTTCATATTAACTTTTCTCTTTGGCCAGTAATATATTAAAATTGAGTCAATTCAGTTTTTTCTATATAAAATAGCTTCCCAATGTTATGTCCAAACAATGGTTTTAATTTTTAAATGCATGCAATATTTTCAGGACAAGAATCTGTCGAATGGGATATTTTTCCTTGAGCTTCTTAGTGCAGTGGAGCCCAGGGTTGTCAATTGGAACCTTGTCACAAAAGGCGGAAGTGGTGAGTATATTGTACTAATTACCAACTTGGTCCTTGGAAGGGAAGTGGCATTGTACCTAATTATTTCTTCGATTCAGCTGAAAATGTACTTTCTTCCTTTTATGGGGTTTTATTGTTATGATCTTTTGTGCTTCCCCTCTTCTTAAGTAATTTACATGGTCTCAAAATGCTTTACTGGTCAATTGAAAAGAGTTTTGATGACAATGCAGATGAAGAAAAGAAGCTTAATGCCACATATATTATCAGTGTTGCTCGAAAGCTTGGATGCTCCATTTTCTTGCTACCTGAGGACATCATGGAGGTAGCTATTTGGAAAGGAAAATTTACCTGAGGTTTCATTGGACATCATGTCTTAGATGATTAAAGAAGTGCTCTTTCTTCTATAATCTAGAGAAGAAGTTCTTTTCCAATTAATAAATATTTGATTCTTGGGGCAAGGGCGGCAAGGATATTTTACCCTTTCTTACTTCTAAAAGATTCTGAACATGTGCTTGAAGTGCTTCTCAATTCCCTTTAATTTCACTTACCCAAAAAATTCCCTTTAATTTCACTTATACTCCATTTAATTTCCCTTTAATTTCACTTTAATTTCACCAATCCTCCCTTAATTTCCTTTAATTTCACCAATCCTCCCTTAATTTCACCAATCCCCCCCACTCCCCCGCCCCCGCCCCCGCCCCCAAAAAATTCCCTTTAATTTCACCAATCCTCATGTGGTTATAGTATGATATACATGGGCTTACATGTGGTTATAGTATGGGGTAGATGCACCAGCTATACATTGTTTCTCCGTATCACCAGATGGTGGAGATGAGATGCTGTTTCATTGATTGAATTATGAGAACAATAGCTCATTTCTACGTTCTATTGGTGAAGATAATTGGTGGATTGCTAGTAAACATATCCATATTATACATAGAATATTTATAAATATATTTTTTCGATATATAGATCACGCACATAGATATGTATGTGTGTCTATGTATGTTTGGGCACAATATTTATGTACTTACCAAAAGAAAAAAAAAAGTGAAACCCCATACCATACAACGCATTTATATATTTTCTTGGTAACTGGCAAAAAATATGTGTACATGTGCTTGTTCACGTGCATACATCTTGCTTTGGTGCTTTGGCAGGTGAACCAGAAGATGATTCTCACTCTAACTGCCAGCATCATGTATTGGAGCCTACAACAACCAATTGAAGAGACGGAATCTACCTCACCATCCACGGGCACCAAAAACGGTGGCATTGCAGAGGGTGTCACAAATGTGTCGTTGGATGACTCTGCCTCTACCTCACCACCCCCGGGCACCAAAAACAGTGGCATCGCAGAGGGTGTTGCAAATGTGTCGTTAGATGACTCTGCATCCGAGACATCTTTGCCTGCATCCGAGACATCTTTGCCCTCCGAGAGTGAGACATCTTTGCCCCCTGAGAGTGAGTCTTTATTGCCACCTGAAAATGAGCCTTCATTGCCTCCTGAAAATGAAACAGCATTGCCACCTGAAAATGGGCATTAAGTTGCCAGAGAATGATGGCCATGGTTTTAGGCCAGGCACCATACGATACCTTTTTCTTCGTATTCTTCTTTTATTTTCTTTTTACAAATGAAAGAAGAAAGGGAAATATAGAAATTTGTTTGATCTTATCTTAAAAAAATCTCCATATTCTTTGTTTCCTTTATTTTTTTCTTGGGTTAATTCTTGGCACACATGATGATCTTGTATTTATATCCAACTGAAAGTCCTTGTAATCTATCAAATTTGGTGAAAGAGTAGATATGTAATAAAACAAGATTGTGGTTTACATAAGATTGCAATATTAAACAATCAAAGTAAGTGTACCTTCAAATTTTATCATAAGATGTAATTTTGGGATAAAAAATTTATAGGATGTCTTGAGAATCTATTTTAGTTTCTAATTATAAAATTTTAGACTCAAAATGGTTAAAATCAAGTAGATCTATGAACACATGAAAATATTGAAAATAGACGGTTCAGATATTGTGTTGTATGATGTACTATTTTTAGGGCTCGAAGTTGTTTTTTTGTTTCATATTCACACATCTCGATGTGGAGATGATCAATTAGAGGGTTTTTCAACTTCAAAATAGTCAGTGCACCTTAATTCTACATTTCAAGTTTGCAACCTTATATGAACTTTTTCCATAAAACAATACCTAGCTTTTGTATCCTATCCTGCTGCATGTGTAAGTAGGCGTATACTTCATCAATTAGGTGCATTTGTCAAATTTCCTGTTATTTATTTTTTGTGGGTAATTTTGACCTATAAGCTCAAGCATGCAACAAGTGCTATTCCAATGGAGGCATAGGATTAAAGTCATTACATGATATATATTTAAGATACTACAATACACTTATAGGTTTTACTCTCATCACTATTCAAATTTCATCGTACGGTCACAGTTGTCCGGTAGTGTTTTAATTTTCATTTTTTTTACTGATCGGAATGATCTGAAATTTGGAGAGTGTGTACATCTTAGTGAGACACACTTAATAAAAATATAGAAAAATAAATAACTACAAATAATAAATTAAGTATCAAATAATACTTCGTAATTTTAGGGTTTAGGTTTTAGGTTTCGTATTTTACTTTTACTTTAAACTTAATTTTTTACTTATATTTTA